AGCTGCTGCTTCGTTCTCGCCCGACAAGAGCCTCCTCGAGAGCGGCCACTCGTCGACTGACGCGTGCTGCCGTATCTCACGAGAGATGGTCGCTAACCGGGCGTCACGATTCTGGCATGCCCGCTCTGCGGCGCAGTCGCAGAGCAAGCCACGAGACGAGCTCGCGCTACAGGCGACGAGGAGCACCGTGTGCACACGCATAATGGCTCGAGAGTGACGGCAGGGTGACGGGCCCACTGCTGCTGGGGCAAACAGAGACAAAAGCAATCCGGAGATTTTTTCTCACACCGCGGCACTTGACAGGGTCGATTCCGCATGGTGCGGGACCCCTCCGATCGTCCTGTAACCACACACTCCTTAAAATCCCTGTGTGGTGGCGGCGTGCCGTCCTCCCATCCCTCCCTTGGCCGCTGTTTTCTTTCGTGCCCAGTGTTGTGCGAGGGAGTTTTGTTGTTCTTTCTTTCTTTCTGTAACTACTTAAAATCCCTGTGGTGGCGGCGTGCCGTCCTCCCATCCCTCCCTTGTGGCTGTTTTCTTTCTTTCTTTCTGTAACTACTCAATTAACTTCGACGAGCCTACAACACGGGCGGTCGCCTAGAATTTTACAACAAAAGAAGGTTCGGGTGGCTCATCGAAGGTTCGATCGCCTCCTTCCTCCGCTTCGCGCTGCGCGAGCGAGCGAGCGGAGGAGGCGCCGCCTCGCGGCCGTTCGGGCAGCAAAACAGATCATTCGAACCCTGACAGGGATCAGGGTAGACGAAGGCTGGAGCGAGCCGACAGGCCCACTTGCTCGGCGGAGAGCAGAAAGAAAGAAAGAAAACAGACAAGTCAAGTTTTACGTGCGTCCCAAATGCGCGTTTGCGGCTTGCCTGTGCTCTCGGCCGCCTCGCTGAGCGAGACCGAGCGCGGTGCTGGTGGCGCCGACACTGCCGATCCGTCGAGCACTGCGACGGCTGCTCAACCAATGAGAGTCGGCAGCGCTGCCTCTGCGGCTGGTGCGCCTGCACAAACCACGCCAAGCAACTGCAAACTGGGCGCAAACCTGTCTGGCAATGCTCTGGGCGAGGATGTCAGTGTGGAAACCACTCGAGTCCTTCAGCTTGATCCTGCCTCGACGGCTCGCACCGCAAACGCGGGTCCTGCACTTCCTCGCGGTGCTGGCATCTCTGCGCTGCGCCATATTGACGCCAATAACTCTGCTTTCAACATGCTCAACGAGGCGGGCGCTGCTGCAGCGCTGACTCCCAACGAGCCTCGCTGCCCTCTGCGCGGCTGGCCTAACCTGTGCTGCTGCTGCCGCCGCCGCTGCTGCTGCGGATGCTGCTCCTGCTACCCTCCCGCCCGCCCGCCCTGTCCGCCCGCCCTGCCCGCCCGCCCGACCGACCGACCACCCATTCCCATCACCATCTCACATACCTTCATATAGGCGCTCGAGACCTCCTCTCGCTGCCTACTCGCTGCCTCGAGGGAGGAGGGGAAGATGTCAGCTAGCTCTCACTCCTGTGATGAGCGC